AATTTTTGGTTGTTGGAATTCGAAAAGCCATCACCATGGAAAAAATTCATTTGTTTTGCAAACGATTATGAAAGCTTTAAACTCGCACATATCGGAAGAACTTGGCGTGGTATACTTTTGTTTACGCCCATAAAGTGTATTTTTTAAGAAACAAACAAGTATTTTAGTTCATTTGTATTATAGTAATTTTGTTGTAAATCGAACATTTGTCATCATATAAAAACTATGTACATAATATGTATGTAGGTACCCCTTGGCTTATAATTATAAGTCTGGCCTTTAATTTGGTAAAAGTCAAGCCAAGAAAAAATTTAGAAAAATATACACATACACACATCAAAATTCTCTATGAAAAGAAATATTTTTAAATTTTTTTTCTTGAAAAATTTTTCACATACAAATTGTTTGATAAAAAAATTCGTTTTTAAAAATATGCCATCTCAAAAAAAAATATTTAAGTATAGTATTATGGGGTGCACTCTACAATAATTTGAGTTATGAATGTTTTTACACAGAAGTTGAGTAAAATGAGTACATTGCAAATTTACAAATTTTTTAAATATATTTTGGGAATTCTTTTGGTATGTACTTTTGTAGCCCATTAAATTTTAGCATAATAAAGTTAAAGTGCAAGTTTTAAATGATTTCAAAACTGGAGTTATTTTTTTTAAATTTTCTTTGAAAACGGTTTTGCGCATTTTCTTCCACAAGAAAAAAGTGCAAAACGGCGTCAGCATAAAATATATTTAAAATCAACGCAATTTTTAAGTAGCTTAAAACTTGCTCTTTATTATAATAAAATTTAATGGGCTAGAAAACTTTTGCCGAAGGTGTTGCGGGTTTGTGCCATATAAAAATTAATTGCGTTTATTCGTTATATGGAAGCAAATGAGCAAATTAGCGACTTGAAACTTGCTTATTATTATACTAAAATTGAATGCGCTATAAAACTGTGTACTAAAAAAAATCTAGAACTTCTGAGAAAAAAGTTGAAAATTTGTTGCACTTTTTTGCGGTTTTGAAAAAGTTTAAAAATTGGGTTCAGTTGAGTTCTATTAGAGAATGAACAGGGTCACCTAGAACATCTTTCCGCATTCATATAGGTTATACTTACTTCTACATTTAAAAAAAAAAAAATCGTTAAAAAATAACAATTTTCGACGAGTTTTAGAACAATTTTTTCTTATAACCT